AAACGAGGCATGTGGCCTGCAGACTGTGAGTTTGACATGCTTGCTCTAGGGCACAGTCCTTCCTTGCATCTTCTAGCTGTTTCTTTCTCGGTCAAATCATTCTGTTATAAACTATTTACATCTTTGTGGAGAGTAAATCCACTGGAATCAAGTCACATTCTCTAGCCCTATCTCTACCTCCTTATTTTAAAGCAAACACCTTCATCTAGCATCTTGAGCCTATTAATTTTCTTTAAATTTTTTTAAATTGAGGCATAATTCACATGTAACATATTAGTTTTATGTGTACAACATGGTGAATTGATATTTGCATATATTAGATGATATTTACAATAAGTCTAATTGACACCCACACCATACATAGTTATACAATATTTTTCTTGAGATGAAGACTTTTAAGATCTATTCTCTTAGCAACTTTCGGATGTGCAATACAGTATTGTTAACTGTAGCCACTGTGCTCGCATTACATTACGTTCCCATGACTTATTTATTTTATACCCGGAAGTTTTTTACTTTTCGGCCCCCTCCCCCCATTTTGCCTAGCCCACTCCTGCCTCTGGCAACCGCCAATCTGTTCTCTGTATCTATGAGCTTGTTTATTTGATCTGAGTGAGATTTAAGCAAGATATGTGAGATCATACTGTATTTGTCTTTCTCCGACTTATTTCACTTAGCATAATGTCCTTAAGGCCCCTTACAGAGACACTTTACTGGTCCCTACTCTGGGTCCTTGGTTCCATCGTTATCCTCGTTTTGCAGACGAGAAAATGGAAGCAGAGAATTTCAGTTTGGCCACAGCAATTTGTCCAAATGCTGAACTTGAGATTAGACGTGTTGGACACCAAAATCCCCATTAAAGCTTTTCCTGAACAGCAGAGCAAGAATTGGTGAGGCAGCTGCTCAGCATGCCAGTGTTTTCCCTCCTCCCCCTCAAGGAGTTCTTAGAGGATGACTTCACTCTGCATATGCATGTGTGGGTGCATGGTATGCCGTCCGTGTGTGTGTGTGTGTGTGTGTGTGTGTGTGTGTGTGTGTGTGATTAAAGCTTAAGACAGAACCGTAACAGGAGGTGGATGAATTAAATACAAATTTTAAAAAAACATTTCTGCTTTGAAAGTAGAGGCAGCACAGTGCCAGCAGCATCTTGGAGGCTGTTGGTTGTCATTCAGTAAAAGAGTGATGGGGGGTTGTTACTGCTGTTGATGCCGATGATAGTAGCAGTTGTCACTGAACGATGACAATCATTTCCAAGTAGGAGAGCAGACCTTATGGGAGCAGTTCTCTGTGGCTGGTTCATTTGAACACATCCCAGGAGTTACAGTTCATTGAATGAGTGAGGAGTGTCTGTCCAAGTGTCCTTTTGCACATGTGTGGAAAGAGTTTGAAAGCATGAGCAATTTGATCAATGGAGAAATGGTGGTGTGTTCCTCACTTCTCATTCTGAAGTCCCCAGAAAGGCATGGGAGGGACACTGTGCATTCAGTGAGGAATCCAAAGGTGTCAGTTGTCGGTAAAAGGCCAGGAGCCCCTGATGCCTTCTTGGATCCTTTGGAAAGTCAGCCTCTTATTTGCAGGATGTTTGTGGTCCTTTTCTGCAACATCCAGACCCTTTGCAGCATTTCTGCAGAGTCTGAAAGCCTGACAAATGGGTCACACTTTTTAAAAAAAATAGAGTTCCAGATGAGGGAGGCCCTAGAGACAGACAGACAGACAGACAGACAGACAGACAGACAGACACACACACACACACACACACACACACAGAGAGAGAGAGAGAGAGAGAGAGAGAGAGAGAGAGAGAGAGAGAGAGAGGGAGAAGAGAGAGAGATTGATTGATTCCAGATATAGGAATTGCCTAACATCAGCCAGAGCCCCAGGCTCTATGTTTCAACTACTGTTTAAAGGATTTTGGGGAAATTTGGCCAGAATGTATATGAGAGAGATTATGATTTTATATGTCTATTCCTGAAATTTTTTTTCCTATAGTTATTTACAATGATTGGGGGAAGACCTCTGCATTTTAAGAAAAGCTGCTAAATAATATTTTATTTGCAAAAAATGTCCTATGTGTTTTTCTACAAAGACTTGAGGATATTTGTTGGTTAATAATAGAAAGTGTTTTTTTCTTTTCTTTCATTTTTACCTGATTTTTTTGGCATCCCCACCCCCATTTCTGGGCAAGGTCTCAAAGTGCAGAGGAGAACGTCTGTCTCTGCTTTACAAATGCCTGTTCCTCTCCCTGTGTTCTCACTGTTAACCAACTACCAAATGATTAAGCCCCAGGATCTGCTGACGCAGAACAGGGCCACCGATCCGCCCTGTGGAGACACTTGGCCTCCGCAGCCCTGGCTGGCAGGTAAGGGAGGGCTGTTAGAAAGGACCCCTGCCATTTCCTGGGCAATTATATGCTCCCGGCATTTTTTAAGTTGATTTTTTTCCCCTTCTTTGCTACTCGGTGGTATTCTAATTTTTGGCACTTACATAGCTGAGTAAAATGTTTCTCAGTTGTGGAGTTGTTGAATTGAATTTGTTCTTCTCCATCTTCTCCCTCCCATCTCCCACTCCCCCCTTTCCTTCTCCAGATAGGAGTGTTGGTCCCCACAAAACAAAGACTCACATTTAAACAACGTGGCCTATGCCTGTGAGCATATCACCAGTACCTTGTCTTACCATCTGCTACCATCATGTCCTAGAGAATGGAGAGAGAGGTCAGGAACTTAGTGACTTTTTTATGTATGTCTTAGTAACAGCATATATGAAAGGATTTAAGAATGTTCGTTTGTTGTAAACTCAAAGTAAATTAATCTTGAGATGAGGCTGCTTGGGGGAAGCAACAATTATGTCCAAAGTGAGGCTGGTGATGGTCCCCTCACCAGAGCAGATGTGGCAACCCCTGAGACTCCATGCTCCAGGGAACACAGAGTAGACAGGAATAAACCCAGGTCATTCACAACTGTTTCACCTGAGGAGCAGTTAAAAGAACGGGGACTTTTTATTTAGAGATGACTCAGAAGGACTATAGCACTCTCTTCAAATGACGGAAGGCTCTGTGTGTAGGAGAAGCATTAGACCATCTGGAGCTTTAGGTGCTGGAATAAGGATGACTGGGTGGAAGGACTTCCTGCCATCAGGGGTTCTCAAAGATGGCTGCCTGGGGTGCTGCCTGGGAGCCTCATGGCTTGGTCCCTTGGGATGAGTGCGAGTCCTGGTTTGTATCTAATGAACTCAGATAAGTAGTAAAGCCAGACCAGGGCACAATAAGCAGATATGACTAGGTAGGAGAAAAGAATGACAGCTCTAGTATGGGACCATCTTCTGTGGTCCGACTTTCCCCAATTTACCTTAAGTTGGCTTTCATTTTTCTGCTTTCTCTAAGATATTTTCCCATACCTGCTGACTCAACAGTTCAAATTTGGGAGGTTGTGCTATAGAAATAAAAACACAGCTATTTAATGATATATGCACAATTATATAAATACATATACCCTTGTGCATATGTTCTCTTCTAACTATACTAGAGGCTATTATAAATATACATTCGTGCATTGGGGGAGCTGGAGAGAGGGAGAGTCCCTCAGCCAGGCCTGTGTCCTAATCACAGTTTAGGACCTCTTGGGGGATGTGCACCTGCCACTTCCACCACCCCTGCTGGAGCCCAGCTTCTGACTGAGCTGTGCTCCCCCTGTGGGAGCCCACTGACCACCAGGGGGCAGCTCCTGCATTGAGCGTCTGCCCCTGGTGGTCAGTGCACGTCATAGTGACCATTCTGTCGTTTAGTTGATTTACATATTAGCCTTTTATTATATAGGATGTAACATTTTAAATATGTAAAAATATAAAAATGTACATATATCTTTTTATAAATATATACATGTGAATAGCAAGATACTGCTGTTTTCCAGTCTAGCAGATGCTTTCTTTCTAATTATTTTTAAGAATTATTTTCCCTTTTTAACTATCCTCATTATACATTCATATTTGATACTGATAGTCCTTTCTACATAAAGAATTTGCCTGCATACAGAAGAGCTGCAGACATTGTAGAATTGGCTGGTGATTAAACCCTGCTTATAATGAGAGAGGATTTGGGGGAGAATGGATGCAGTTTCATTGATACAGACTCAGAGCTGATGCCAAGTAGCCACTCTGATACAAAGGAAAGAAGTGAGTGGTAATGTCAGATCTGCAGAAATAGAAATACTAGCCATTGTATGCATCTTACTGCACTTGTGTGCATTTATTAGGTTAACACTGCCAGTCAACAGTCGTCTTAAAATTAAATGTGTCAGAAATTCTGTAGAATCCCCTTAGTTGGTCATTGAGTTCTGGGTATTTAATGCAATTAGAATATTACAGAATCATGGATCTCAACCAAAATTTCAGTCTGCATAGTATTCTCTTGATTCAGACAAATCAGGAAGTTAAAAAAGTATTTTCATACAAGCGACTGCCTCATAGAAAGATAACACTAAACTATTATGAAAAATATATAAAGTAGGATCTGTGCATGGCTGATTCCATTTTAAAAATCTCAGTTATAGTTCCAAGGCACTGTCACTTTGGAAAACTAGTCATGTGCAGTGACATCTTCACACCTCATGGACTTGGCAAAAAAACCTGAGCAGTGCTTATGGGTCATTTCTTACAAGGGTGTGGGGAGAATCAGAGAAAATGTTCTCTGAAGCTGCGACCCAGAGAGGAGGAAGGAGTGAAGGGGCGCTGTGAAGCGGAAAGAGGTGCTTTGGGACGACAGTGCTACGGGAGAAGTTCAGGTCACATTTATGACCCCCTCCCCCTCCTGCCTCTGGTTTGGGCATCCTATCAAGAGTTTTGAGTTTTCTTGGATATGATTCCTGCTTCATCCAGAAAATCACCCTCTCCCCTGCCCCCTCCCCAGGCTGAGCGGGAGGCCTCATGGCTGACTTTCCTGAATGTTTGAGTCCATGGTTTTGCTGCTTTTCTCATGCCTTTTTTTTTTTTTTTTTATGATGTTTCAGCTCATCCACCATACACCATGTGCTTTAGAGTGAAATTCTACCCACATGAACCCCTGAAGATTAAAGAAGAGCTCACAAGGTATTTTTCATTTGTTTTACGTTTAACATTCCTGCCTCCCCCCCACACCCCCCAACCCCTACCCTCCTAAACCATCCGGGTCATCTGAGCCTTCCAGGCTGGATGTGCCTCAGCAATGCGGGCGGGCGCTCAGCTCAGGAGTCTGGCTTGGAATGTTTCTCTTGCACTTAATTGTCTCAGGATTTTTCAAACACTTGTCATGGGGAGTGCAATTAAGTGCACAGAAAGGCAGTGGTTATAAGGAGGAGGTACTCTCTGCAAACATCTGACAGTAGGGTGCTAAAAATAAATAGAAGATGTCGGTCTTTAGGAGCGAAGCCCCGAGGGCCTATCTTCTGGATCTCAGCTTTTCTGGGAGGGAAGGGACCACTTGATAGAATGTACTGCTTGTCATCCTGCCTTCCACTCACTAAATGACTGACGGTGGGGCCAGCTTCCCTCTCCTTGTAGACTCTTCTCAGCCCAACTCTCTGAATTTTCCCATTCTGCGGCCTCCCCACCGCTGAGGCCACATGCTGGGGGTTTTGCTTCCGTGAACAGCCTGGGCCAGCCCAGCTGATCAGGGTCCCAGAGGGGCCTATTCAGTGGACGGGGAAGAGCCATTCTGAGTTAAGCTCTTGATGAGGCTCTGATTTGGTGATCGCAGAAATCACTCTGCATAATTATCTCTCAAAATAACCTCCGCAGGTATGAATGCAACAGAGAAACAAGTGCAGTTTGCTGACCCTCATGTGCAGGGGATGTGCTGGGTTCTTGGATATTTAGCTTTCTACTCCTCCAATGACTGATAGAGCTTGACCGTAGAGGCACTGAGAGTGCAGATGGTTTCGTTCTCTATTATGAACTAGTACACAGTGGTTTAGTGAGGGTTGTGCTTGGTGGCAGGGGCAGGAACAGGTGTGGAAAGGAGAAATACATACGTAATGGACATTTTAAGTGGTGGTTCATATTTTGCTATCTGGCCTGCTGTGTGTGTATGTGTTTTTAAACTGAGGTAAAATTTATATAACATAAGTGGATTTCACCATTTCAAAGCGTACAATTCATTGGCATTAAGCACATCCACAATGTTAGGCAACCATCACCACTGGAGAGATCCGGAACACCCCAAAGGAAACACTAGCAATCAGTACTGTCTCCTCTTCCCCAGCCCCTGGGAACTGTTAATCCACTCGCTGTCTTTATGGATTTACCTGTTCCAGATTTTTTATGTAAATGGACTCATGCCATATTTGGCCTGCTCATGGCTCAAAAATTTATTCATTTATCTGCTAAGTTCTCTTTCAGTTCCCATTCTTCCTCTAGTCCAGGAAACGGGGGCTTCTGAGCTTCCAAAAAGAGAGAGAGATTTGTCTTGCTCTCTGGGTGGTGCTAACAGTATGATTTGGAAGAACCACCAAGGGCCCAAATGGCTCACTTTGGTCATTTGTGTTCTCTATAATCTTGTGTGGAGGACAAAAATTGAGAGTGTCACAATAGAAATTAACAATAGATCTTTTGTGGTTGAGAAAAGTCCCCTTTGAAAGTAAGAGAACAAAGTTTTAGCTAATAACCTGAGTTAAATCCCTCTCAGTTAACTTGGCTAGCATTTACAGGCATTTGCTTGAATAGTCAAGGTCTGAATAGTGGAAAATTGTGAACATATTTATGACTCTTAAGGAAATTAAGATGACGCTCAGTCCTTGCACAGTACAGATGAGCTTTTCTTAGTCATTATCATCCTTAGCATTCAAAACAAATTTGAAAAACTGTGCAATGCTCAGGCGTTTATGGTGTAAACCCTATCTTGAAACAGTTTAGTTTTTCTTATTTGAGAAATTATTTTATTGTAAGATTAATCTAAAATTTAAAGATGAATTCAAGAGAAGTTAAGATCACATTTATGACCATGCTTAGGGGTAAAGAAATATTGGGGAAAAGGGAAGACGTAAAAGAGGAAAACCACACAAATATAAAAAAAAACCTTTTGAAATAATTTTCATCCTTTACCTTTGCATTTATGCTGTTATCTTACAATGCCCCCCCCCCGACCCCTTTGTAAATGCTGTATACGGTTAAATATCAAAGTACTGTGGTTTTAATGTTTTAGTCAGAATCAAGTTTAAATTCAGGCCAGACAGAGAAGCAATATCATTAATGGTGGCACAATAATGGAAGCCCAGATCCTTTCGGCGCATAATCCTTTCATTCTGCAGGTGTGATGCAAAAAGAAGAGGCATCATTATTATTATTTCAGTGGCTATTGTGTTTAAACAATGAGCACCTGAACCTGAAGCCATTTTGAAGGCTCAGTGAATTATGTCAAATCCACAATAATCCATGATTATCTCTGGAGATGACTGATATGAGCAAGCACCCAGGCTCTGATGCCGTGACAGCTGATTTTTTTCTTTCTCAGGAAGCTTTTGTCCAGCTGGAGTTCTAACTTACAGGATTCGATCCCAGACCTCTCGTTCATCAGGAAATAGTGATTGGAAACTCTTTTTTACTGCTAAACTTATCACAAAGTCGCAAGCAAAGCCTTCTGTTCAGTGCATACGTTTAGCAGGTAGAAAAGAAACTCACGGCATTTGCCCGGGTAGTCCACCCTCTTTTTTAGAGGAAAGATTTGATCAATTTCTAGTACTGTGTGACCTTGCAGAGCGAGGTCTCACAAAAGCAGCAGCACCTGAGAATTGGGACCCGGTAATCTCTATTGTCATAGCCTTGCAGCCTGTCAAAATTCAGAAACCACATTCTAAGGCAATTTGGATTTTCAAAAGTATTCATTTCTTTTGGCAAATATTACAGTGTACACTTAAATGGGTCTAATATGATCACAACCTTGTGCCACCCTCATCACAATCTAATTCCAGAGGATTTTTATCACCCCAGTGGGAAGCCCCATACCCCAGCAGTCCGTCCCTGACAGCCACTAATCTACTTTCTGCCTCTATAAAGACTTGCCTATTCAAGACATTTCATATAAATAGAATCATCATATGTAGTATTCTGTGACTGGCTTCTTTGCACTTAGTGTAATATTTCCAAGATTCATCCCTGTGGTGCATGAATCAGTACTTCATTCCTTATGTGGCTGAATCAGATCCCATTGCATTCACGTGTCTTTTACCTTTTCTTTGGTTGATGGGCATTGGGTTTTCCCACTTTTTAGCTACTCTGAATAATGCTGGTGTGTCCCTGCTGTGTCCCTCTCCCCTGGCTGAATTGGGTGCAAGTGTATTTTTTTTTTTTTTCTATTCGATGCCCCAGGAATTTTAAAAACAGAATTTGTAGCAACATTTAAAATTCAAAGGGTTTTTCACTTTGTCAATGAAAGAAATTCTAAACCTAAAGGAAGGTGTAAAGAATGTATGATGAGCTACGCTTTTGAGGCCTAGTCCCAGAAGCAACGTCTCCTCGAGGGAATGAGACAATGCTCCCGAGGAATAGCAGTTTCTTTGATACACTAGACTCAAAGGAGAAGAAGCAGGAAAGGTTTGCATGAAATCCAACGGTTGCAAATGGCAGAGGCGGAAGGGAGCAAAGCAGAGAAATCTCTAGGATGGATAAAAAGTAAAATGGAGGGATACACACTTCTTTCACATTGGTGGGCGCAGGACAGTTCACCGTTAGCCTACATAATGTGCAGAGGTATGTGGGTAAAGAGAATAATGAGGAATGTTGGACTTTTTCACCCCTCGCCCATGTTTATCTCTGGAGGCCTGGAGAAGAGATCACACTGACACTTTAAGTATGTTATTCTAGGTGCACAAAAACAGTAGATGAAGGTACCACACAGGCCTTGGAAGGTGATCTCCCCCCATAACCCATTCAGTTGGGAATTTCTTTTTTTATTTTATTTTTATTTTATTGATTTTCTACAGAGAGGAAGGGAGAGAGATAGAGAGTCAGAAACATCGATGAGAGTCATTGATCAGCTGCCTCTTGCACACCCCCACTGGGGATATGCCCGCAACCAAGGTAAATGCCCTTGACTGGAATCGAACCTGGGACCCTTGAGTCCACAGGCCGACGCTCTATCCACTGAGCCAAACCGGTTTCGGCCAGTTGGGAATTTCTTATGATCGAACATCTCGTGTGGTTACTTTCAGTTGCTGAGTTGTCATGCTTGCCAAGGAAGCCCCTTTTGGTCCACAATTTCTAAACCCAGCTCCTGATTTCCTGAAAAGCTGGAGGCATTTGCCTGTTTTCTATGCAGTAGCATCAGGCTGGGACTGTGTAGCAGCTGACCCCTTCATGGGGCCAGCGCTCTCCATTCTGCTTCCCTGGCCCCCTTATGCCAGCTCCTTTCACTCCTCATCTGGTTTGCCTGGCTCTGCAGGCATCGGGGAGAGAACACGAAATAGATGACAGCTCTAGTTATGAATTAATTTGCTTTCTGGCCTCATAACAAAGTCATCTTGAGATTGATGACTGTGAGTCTGTGTCCTGGAGACTGGTTTCTGTGCACTGACTGCACAGAAACCATTGCATTTCCTGACGGTTTCACACAGCATGTGGGAAACATGTACCTGTGGTGTCATCCTGTGGGACCTCCTGTCAGGAACCGTGGCTGCTGGCCCCATGGTTTTCCCTGGCCCTTCTCATGTCTTCTTGGAAGAGGGCCAGCCACCCATCTTTGGAAGCTGCCACAGACCCTTGGCTCTTCTCTGGATCCTGAGCCCCCTCCTCCCCCACCCCATTTTCTCCGCTGGCTCTCCAAGGGGTGGGCATGTCTCAGCCACTCCTGATACAGGTGGATAGAACATGAGCAATCACTGACACTTAGGGGGACTCTTTCCTTTGTATTGCAGGTACCTTTTGTACCTGCAGATTAAGAGAGATATTTTCCACGGTCGATTACTCTGCTCCTTCTCAGATGCTGCCTACCTGGGTGCATGTATCATTCAAGGTAAGTTGAACTGGACTGTAGAGATTTGGCTGTTCAGAGGTTCCCCCTCCCTCCTGTGCCTATCCTGCTGGTGTCTATGGTTTGAGGCCAGGCAGGGCTGGGTACTCGGTACCAGAGCCCCTCGTTATCTTTCCTCTCAAGCCAGCAGAGTCTGGTGGAAGGCTGGGCTGTGGTGGTCACAGGGGCCTCTGCAAAAACAAAGGGTCCTCCAGGCCCATGGCAGAGCTCAGAATGTGTGACTTCATGAGAAACTCTGAAGGATTGTGAGTGCGAAGTGCTGACCGCCAGCTGTAGTGCTTAATGGGTACACTGAGGAGAAGCTGTGTCCAGGAGGAGATATAAATTCAAACATTTGAGTGAAAATATATATATATATTTTCATATACTGTATCTAATTCTTCAGCTTCTCCAGCCACCTCACAGGGAAGGAGGAGTACTAGGGTGGTGAGGGGAGGCCAGGCCCACAGTCTCTTGGAGATCTCTGGTGTTCTGTCCCTCTGGGCCAGTCGGGAGGCAGCTGGCCGCAGAGGATGTTCAGAAGGACACAGGTGATCCAGCCCTTTGTAGCATGAATGCTAATGACATGATTGTCAGAGAAGGGGAGGGAGGGAGGGGGAGAGAGACAGGGACCAAGTGAGCATGTCACCCTTCTAAAGGGACTGGAACAAGATGTGGACCATGACAGTCATCTGCTGACCACAATTCCAAGCTTCATTCATAGTTGGAGAGAGACCCATCCTTCTTGTGGGGTTGTGATAGGCAGACCTGTCCCTGGGGGATGCTCTGCGCTGGGCTATGGTTTTGGGAGGTGGGTGCCCTCTGAGAATTCTAAAGGTTGTGTCTGTGCTGATGCTCCCCCTCCCCGGGGAGCAAGCTAGTGCTGCACAGCAGATTTTGGCAGAGGCATGGACACCCTGGGGGATAGTCACATTGAAAGTCAGAACGACAGTGATACCGTGATGGGAAAGGTCCTTCTGCCTGCCCAGAGGTGGGTCACGTGCTTCTGAAAGCCACCTCTCTTACATCAGCGCTAAGGAGGCGGAAACCCATAGTTCTCCCCATTCCCTGTGAGGAAGGCAAGTTACCAGCCAGGGAGCACTGTGTTCTCTAAAGGAGACATGGATCAATACTAATCCGAGCAGCAAAGCCACACGTGAGGATTTCAGAACTCGGCCAGGCATTTGTGAATAATGGTCAGCTCTCCAAGGGCAAGTTCAATCCGGGTCTGTAACGGGAGACTCTCCTTTCTGTTTATGTTTGAGATAAAGTCACAAAGGCTTCGTCCAGATGATGGTGGGGGGGGCCTTTTAGTTGTCTTGTGTTCTCACTGACCACATACAGATGCCGTGGAGAGAGTAGAGTTGCAAATGGACTGCTGACCTCCAAAGGATTTTTCAGCTAGAAAAATGCAGTGGTGTCCATGGGCCATTTATAGCGAGCCCAGCAAAAGCAGATCCATAAAGTTCTGAGGTGCTGGGGCCATTCTTCAGCAGCTCTAGAGATCGATCGTTACAAATGCAGATAAAAATCTGCTTTGTAGGAACTGCTTATGCTTATGGAGAGTGATGGGGAAAGTAGAGTAAAGGATTAGAAGGCGGAGGCCATGTGACTTTTCATTGGCTTCTCATTTGCCCATGCTCTTTTTTTTTATTACTAATTTAAATTTTTTATTGTTGACACTATTGCAGATGTCCCCATTTCGTGCCCCACCTACTTTCTCATCTTCCCCAGTCCCTCCCCACACTATTGTCTGTACCTATGGGCCCTGCATATAGTTCGTTATCTAACCCCTTCACTTTCTTTAACAGTCAACCCCCCAGCCCCTCCCCTTGGACATTTGTCAGTCTGTTCCATGTATCCATGCCTCTGGTTCTATATTGTCCTTCCATTTATTAGACTCCACATATTAGTAAGATCACATGGTATTTGTTTTTCTCTGATTGGTTTATTTTACTTGCCAACACTCTTTGGAGGAACATGCTCTTAGCTTCTGTATATTCTGAGTGTATTAAAACCAGGCAGCCACCCCGAGTTTTGCCACTTGTATGAACTGAACACAATGGGCATATTCAGTACATGCCACACATTTTCTTTCATATGAAAGACAAATTACAAAACAAAACACACAGGACCCTTGGGACCTATTTCTATTCTTCCTCAGTAAAAAATACCTTTCCTGTTCCTTCTACAGCATAGCAACAGGGCAGGATTCTTGTTCTTATCTCCTCTGCCTGGTGTGTTCAAACCTGTGGGTCTGTGGCTCCTACTAGAAATTCAGACCTCAGTTCAGATGTCGCTTCCTCTGGGAAGTTTCCCTGGACTACTGAAGTAGCCTCCCTCCTCCCCATCATTACATCATCCTTTCTCATACCCATTTTGCTGTCTTTTAAATACTTAGATCTGAAATGACCCCGTTAAATTGTTTTGGGGTTTATTATGCATCCCCTTTACCCTCATGTAGAACCTAAATCCCATGGAAGCGGGTCTCTGGGTGGATTTTTCACTGCAGAACCCACCTGTATTGGGCACACAGTAAGTCCTCCACTCAATATGTGACGTGAACCAGGGCACTTGTCTAACTGTACCAATATAAGCTTTCTTCTTCTTTTCTGGAAAGAGTGGTTGGTTCCCTATCTCATTCACTTATTTGTTCTTGTGTTCTCTGAGCATTTACTGAACAGCTGCTAGGTGGCAGGCAGTGTAACACAGAGTCCCCAGGGGTGAGGTGGGAGGAGACAGACAGGTAAACAGACAGTTGTGATATGTGTTAATGGCTAAATAGAAAGATACACATCTCCCTGCTAGGACCTCAGCAGCGCCCCAGTCCAGCAAGGGCAGACAGGGAAGGCTCCTGAAGAAGCTGGCCCTGACCCTGTAACATCCTGCATCTCAAGTTCTTTTGCGATTAGTCCTCTCCACACCAGGGAAAAACCATTGTCGGGCTTGCTCTGTCTATTTGCCATCACCCGATCACACTCATCTGTTTGCTCCAACTCTGGTTTGTTCAGACCAGGAATTCTCTTCAAATATGAGGTGGGACCTGTTTCAGCCATCTGATGTGTTGCATGCCATTTGTCAGAGAGTGACCCTCAATGTCTGTGTAGAAGAGAGAACCATAGGCTGCTTACCCAACTCCTCTTGATATGGAAAGCAAAAATTGAATAGTTAGAAATCCTTAATCGCGTATAAACTGCCCTTTGCTTCAGGTGAAGTCAGAGTTAAAGACAGGCAGGCAGTGACAGGAAAGCAGGGGCTGTGGCGAGGAAGGTATTGGAGTTTACCTGGTCAGCAACCTTGTGCAGGTTCCATGGCATTTCTTCTTAGTCTTCACACATTTTCCAGGCTACTTGTTTGCAGTGTTGAGTCCATTGTTCCTCACAAGTTTTCCTGGAGAGAGAAGCCCCCCCCCCCCCCCAAACCAACTAACCAACCAACCAACCAATGCACCCTCTAAACAACCACTATGCAAGCTGGCATTTGTATTGAAGACCCAGTTTCCTGTCAGTGGTCCATTCCCTATGGGAAATGGCTACATTAGGTTATATACCAGTTCCTAAATTTTAGGTCCATTGCCAGCTCACAGTTTGTATGTGTGGTTGTGTTTCTTTTGAAACTTTGTTGAGCTAATTATTAGTTTAATGACCCATTCTGATCATTGATCCCTTTAGGCCTCTTATGTTTGATTGATTGATTAACCTTTTTCATTATTTTCCATTTCCATTCTTATTGACAACAACGAGGTTCATACATATCTTTGACTTTGCATATAGTACAACCTTATAAAAATGATTAGTATTATTTAGTAAATATGTACTTTAAAGTTTTATAAATTAAACGAGACTATAGAACTCATTTTATTCCTTTTTATGCTCAACACATTGTTTTGGAAGTCTGTGTTGCTGGGTATACATCTGTTTTGTTGCTTTTAAATGCTACAGGTATCCGGAAAGATATATCACCCTTATTTTATTTATTGCTCCCACTGACAGTGAACACTCAAGTTGCCAACATATTTATTTATTTATTTATTTATTTATTTATTTATTTTTGCAACCAGAGTTTTTCTAGAATATATGCCCAGAAGTGGGATTGCTGGGTAATAAATTTGACTAAATACTCCCAGCTGTTCTCTAAAAGAGCAACATGTATCAAGAATCTTTCAAATGTGTACAAGAATTTGCATTTTCTCATATCTCTGCCTGACTTCCTAAAATTGTTGTGAGTCTTACAGGTATAAAATGAATCCTAGTTGTTCTGGTTTGTGTGGCTCTGAGTATGGATGGGTTTGGGCATCTCTCCATACACTCACCCTTTGGGTTTCCCCTATTGTGAACTGGCTGTTTATATCCTTTAACCGATTTCCTGTTGGTCTTCCTGCCTATTTTCTCATTGATTTGTAAGGATTTCTTTTTTATTCTATTTTGCAAATATACTCTTTAAACTTGCCATCTATTATTTTGACTATGATACCTTTAATGAATAGAAATATTTAAAATGTTGATACAATCAAATCAATTTCCCACCAATGGTTGATGGTATGTTAAGTCTTATTTTAAAAGTTCCTACTCATGTGATAGACATTTTAGGTTGTTTTAAGAGCTCTGTAATTTGAATTCTATTAAGAAGCTCTAAAGAGCTTAGCTTTCCTCCCAGTTTTGTCCTACAGTCATTAGATGATTCAACAAGGAAGGGACAGTAGATAGAAATTACAGAGTTGTATGTGATTTTGCAGACGGCTCAAGGCATCTTGATTTTAAAATCTATTTCGAAGTCGTGGTGTTGCTCAAGTTTTCTAATACAATTTCCCCACCATCTTTGATCTACTTCCTGGGCCATTTTTGCCTGAGACACTTGCCTCTTCCTTGTTCATTTTCCTTATCAAACTCATGGAATCAGTAGAATATATTCCCAGCCAGAGCATCACCTTTGCTGCTGCCGGCTGCGGTCCATGCACATTAGGTCCATCCTCTTCAGGGTGCTCAGTGAGGTGCAGGCATTTCTGAGGTGCCCTCCTTTAGAATCCAGCAACAGCCTTAATCTGGTTTGCTCCTCCATACTTTGAGACACACTCTTTAATTTAAGAGCAGTCCGTTTATTTTTACATGCAATCCTCTTGGGTGCCTTTATGTTGTGACTTTTCATCGAACGAGCCATACCTACACACATGTCAGAGCAGGCAGCTCCAGCCAGGGGACTCCTAGACTCAGAGGAAGTTAGCTCTGAGAGGAACCACAAGGGACGGTTCAGTGTTTCTCAGTGAGAGGTGGCATACCACCTCTTATCCCAGAGCATTTAGAAATATTGGGGGAAGCATTTTTGGCCATCACAATGCCTGCCTGTGCCACTAGCACGTAGTCCCTAAGGGTAGGGATGCTAAATGTCCTCCTATGCCCTGGGAGGTCTAATAAATAATTGTTTAACCCCCATGTGCCCCATTGAGAAATAATGACTCAAATCCATTTATTGTGTAGATAAAGAAATGAGGCTCAGAGAGGCTGGCGAGTGTCCAGGCTCACACAGCTAGATCTGAACTAGGATATACGCTTCCAGACACTCAGGCTGTGGTCTGTGGATACAAGTACATTTCATTGGATGAGCTTATTCCAAGCTCTTCTTTTGGGTGCTGGAGATATCCCATGAGCACCCTGTGGTTGTTTTTAATCTTTTTCTCTGTCTACTTTTTACTGCTTACAGCTGAGCTCGGTGATTATGATCCTGATGAGCATCCTGAGAATTACATCAGTGAGTTTGAGATTTTCCCTAAGCAATCACAGAAGCTGGAAAGAAAAATGGCAGAAATCCATAAAAGCGAGCTCAGGTAATTGGGGTAGACGTTTGTAAACATGCAAAAGCATTCTCACCGTGGGGAATGTGGAAGCCATGTTGTGAAGTAAGAATGTCTATAAGGTATGGGCAGACTGTTCCAGGTGTCAGAGCAATATTCCTGGCACTGTCAAGTTCTTATTAATAATGATCGCAACAGTGTGGGGCCCCCTGGGTGGCTGTTTATGAAGCATCAGCAGTTATTAGAGCCATATATTTTCTTATGGGTTTTTGCCACCCTGAGTTTCTGAAAATGAAATGTAGGGTAAATCGGTAACCTGTTTTGCAGTTTTGCACTCTCTCTTTTCTTCCTGTGGCCATTGCTGGAAGCATTGACTCCATGTAGAGGAGAATCCCTTGAGAGGGTTTCCTTTGCTGAGCTGTTCTCAGGGTGACAGATTCGGTGCCCTCTCCTCTTTTTCTTGTCTGCAATGCTCCAGGACAAGTGCTCAGCAGGGCAGAAATGGCAGGAGTAGAAAACCACATGCAGTATCCACTGTGTCCAACACTCTTCTAAATAGTTGCACATATCAACTCATTTAATTTTCACAACAACCTAGGAGATAGGCGCCATGGTTATTCCCATTTTATAGATGAGGGAGCTGAGGCACAGAGAGATTAGGTATCTGACTCAGGGTCACACAGCTAGCAAGTGGCAGAGGCTGGATTTGAACCCAGGCCACCTAGCTCCAGAGTCTGTGCTCTTAAGCTTTGTGTGATGCTTGCACTTAGCATAGGCTACCAGGGATGAAATGTAGCACTGGTAGGAATCATTGGCAATTTTGAATTCAGGCAACTCAATTTTTCTAGCCTGTAACTAGAATTTAGATCTGTGCAAGTTTCACAAAAATTCATTATGATAATCATAGCAAGCTTGGATCTCTGGTAAATATTAAAAAAAAAAAACAATCTTAGTGTCACTGGTTTATGAATTCTGGAACAAACTGTCCCCTGTGAAAGAGTGCTGGAGCTCCCTACTTTATGCTGGCACTCCCCCTTCTGGTGAGTCTGAGAAGGGCATATATGCAGGCATTAAGGTGGCAGCATATTTCCCCTCAGATGATTAGATATAAAAAAATCGTGCCAATTGCAGAAAGCAATATATATTCTCTCTAGGTAATTTAGAGTATTGTTTCCTAATGCAAAACTTTGCTGAAAACATATGACAATCTGACTACTCTTACATTTTGGGGACAAGGGTGCTCAAGGTAAAAATAAAGTTCCAATATCCAGTTGACGGGTGTGTGGGAAGCAGTGTCTGGTGAGCACAGGGTGAGACCCTTTGGATAAAGGACTCACATCCAGTGTGTGGATTGGTAGGAGATGGGATTGAAAGGTCTGTTGTAATCAGAATTTGCAAGGTCATCAGTGCTTGGAACATATACCTATAAAGATTTACTGAGCACTTACTGGATGCCAAAACACTGTGCTAAGAGTCTTATTATTACCCACTCAGACTCTGTGAGGTAGGTGCTCTTGTTGTTCCCAGTCCAAGGTGAAGAGAGCATACTTGGAGTGTCTAAAGGATTTGCCTCGTGAGCAGCAGTCAGGACTTGAGCCTTGCTGTTATCTGAAACTAACACACAAGTGCTGAACAGGCAAAAAGCAACCAGGTGGTTTAACTAGTGGTTTGGCAGCTGTGGTGGTTTTCCACAGCGATCACCCTGGCACTGGCATCGGAGGGTGAAACTGTGGGCAGGAGTACCACTTAGTCATTTCTGCTGTCCAGGCAAGAGATGGCATGGATCTGAAAAAGAACAGGAGTAGAGAACATTGAAGGACGTCTCAAGAGTCATTGTAGAAAGACTTATTGACCCACTGGATTTCATGAGTGAAGGACTGAATCAAGATGCCAGATTGTTTTTTATAATCAGAAAGCTGCAGATTGGCCCTTGTGCCAGCATCCAAATTTGTTGATAACCCTGAAAGTGGTCATCGTGCACCTAGGGAACAGAGAGGGTCGCCAAATAACCATGGTTTACTACATCTCGGAAGTAAATGCCACAGTTTGATCAAAGGTGCCATTTGGTGCCACTACACATTTGTAACATCCAAATGTGAACTTTGTAAAGAAGTTAAAGTTGCGTGTCCGAGAGATGAAATAACTAGAAACCACATGGCATTGCAAGGAGAACTGCAGAGGGTGTTTTCCTATGCATTTTGCTAATAATCAAGTAGCCCTGCATTTCCTGCAGCAGAGTGATTTTTAGGTTTGGATAGGGAGATAAGACTAGAATAAGCTGATGGTGCAGGGGAAGGGGGTGTGTGCTTTCTAGAATCTGTTGGAACCCCGCTGCAGAGACTCAGGTCACTCTGGGGGTTCAGCAAGTCCTTTGCAGGTTGTAAAAATGTTGATCTTCCCTAGGAATTGGATTGCTCTGCCAACCTGACAGTGTCAGGAAGGAGCTGTGAATGGAAGAGAGCATTGTGAGCCTGCATTGAGGTGTCACTCACTATCTTATTCTTCAAGGCTGTCACAGCACCCATGACTCTCCCACACAGCAAATGGGTGATGTGTGATCATTGATCTGTTGTTAAGGAAACTTCCTAAGAGATCCAGTTGGCCTTTGTTGGGGGTTGAGTGCTCCCCCAAAATAACTTCTTGTCTTCTACCTGGTTTCTGAACCAGTTGAGCAAAAGAGATGGTAATAGAGACAACTCAGACATGAGCAGAAATGATGATGTGTAGTGAAATATTTTTTTTTACCTGTGGGGTTTCACCTCCTCCTGCAGCCTTCTTTATTTGTTTAGACTCGGTCTCCTTCTGTGTTCTCCAAGGAAGGGGTAAGAGCTGTGAATCTTGGGAGAAAATAAATCAGGGAGGAAGGAGAACCCTCCCCGCTCTCCAGGAGGCTACTCACTGCTTGAAGGTAGAACAAAGATGGCTTGAGAGGCATGAATAAGAGACTCCTTTAGGGGAAGAGAGTGTGAAAGAGGGGCTCAGTGAAATTTTGAGGTGCTTGAAAATAGAAGATCAACATTTCAGTAAGAGTTTCCATGCACTAAGTGCTCAGACTCCTTTTATTTTTTAGCGAAAAGCGAAATTCATGGCCCGGTCAACTTTGCTTCATTAAATGTGTCGTATCCTTGACTGAACAGGAGGGTCGGAATGAGAAGTCACAATTTTGTAAATATAATAACAATTTATTGGTCTTCTCTGTGACAGTCAAGAAAAGCTAGATATTGCTGGGGAAACAACCACTAAAGCTCAAAAGGTTTAGAACAAATAAGACATTTCTTTTGTGTGTTCACCAGATGTTAGCAGGAGTGCAAGGGGGAGACCCAAGCTTGAATTTGCCAGTTGTTGAGCCAAAGGAAAGAGGGATCTGGAGATGTTGCTTCAGCTTAGAAGTGATACATGTCCCTTCCACTTAACTACTATAGTCAAATGTCCTACCCAAGAGCAGGGAACTGCAATTCTATGAGGTGTCCAGGAGGTGCAAACTGGAAACAGCTGGCAAATAGCTCTTAGTGGCCTTCACAATATCATTAATTAGTAGTTTTTGTTGTTGTTGTTGTTTTTTTAAATAGACTTTATTGCCTGACTGGTTTGGCTCAGTGGATAGAGTGTCAGTCTGCAGACTCAAGGGTCCCAGGTTCGATTCCAGTCAAGGGCATGTACCTTGGTTGCAGGCACTTTCCCAATGGGGGGTGTGCAGGAGGCAGCTGGTTGATGTTTCTAACTCTCTATCCCTCTCCCTTCCTCTCTGTGAAAAATCAATAAAATATATTTAAAAAAAATAAAATAGACCTTATTTTTTAAGAGCAGTTTTAGATTCATAGCAAAATTCACTGGAAGGCCCAGAGATTTCCCCTGTACTTGCTGTGTCGCCTCCCCCAATATCAATGTTCTCCCATCATAATGATACATTTATTACAACTGATGAACCTACAGGAACACATCATTATCACCCAGAGTCCATAGTTTACCTTAGGGTTCAGTCTTGATGTTGGTATTCTATGGGTTTGGATAAATGTATAATTGCATACATCTAACAATATCATATCATATAGAATACGTTCACTGCCCTAAAAATCCTCTGTGTTCTGCTTATTCATCATTCTCCACCCTCACCAAGCCCTGACAACCACTGACATTTTTACTGTCTCCATAGTTTTGCCTTTTTCAAAATGTTTGTACAGTTGGGTCCATACAGGTTGACTTTTTTTACATAGGTAATATGCATTTAGATTCCTACATGGCTTTTCATTGATAGCTCATTTTATTGCTGCATAATATGCAATTGTTTAGATGTAGTACATTTTTTTGTCCATTCACCATACTGAAGGACATGTTTGCTTCCAAGTTTTTGGATTAGCTTCAGACATAGGCCATTGGCAATTATAGACATCTATGTGCAGGCTTTTTTATGGGCATATATATCCATCTCCTTTTGGCAAATACCATACCAACGAGAGCAATTTCTGGCTTATATAGTTAAAATATATATTTTATTGATTTTTACACAGAGAGGAATTGAGAGGGAGAGAGTTAGAAACGTCGATGAGAGAGAAACATTGACCAGCTGCCTCTTGCACCCCCCAATGGGGATGTGCCTGTAACCAAGGCACGTGCCCTTGACCGGAATCGAACCCGGGACCTTTCAATCCGCAGGCCGACACTCTATCCACTGAGCCAAACCGGTTTTGGCAATTTCTGGGTTATATAGTTAGAGCATATTTTGTTTTCTAAGAAACTACCAAACTGTCTTCTAAAGTGGCTATACCATTTTGCATTCTTACCCGCAATGAATGAGAATTTCTATTGCTCCACATCTATCTTTGTCAGCATTTGGTGTTTTCAGTGTTCTGAATTTGGGCCATTCTAACAGACAAAGTTTTATGTAGAAAAATTTTATAGAGGCAGCTTTGGGCCTCTTAATATACTATCCTGTGAGCTAGACAATGAGGAGATGTGTGATTCACATTATTGAAGAGATGCTAGTAAAATCCACTGAGGCTGAACAATTTTTCTAGATCAGGAGTGGTTAATAA